GCCCAAGTGGTACTCTGCGCTAAGCTGAGCGGGCGTTCCAAGCGCATTACTCAGCGACAGTTACACTGTGGTACGCTGTCGCAAAACGAGCTAGTTGAAAAACCCCATCCAGTAATATCAGTCCACACTGTTCGCTTGTGACGAATGTTCTGTATTCCGCTAGCTTAGTTGGTTGTGGTCTGACACGGCGTATCATGTTACTCTGGATTTTTGCGCAGTCTCTGTGTTCTTGACGTATACCGATCAGTTCCTCCCAACAGTAAGCATGTCGGAACATAACTCAACGAGAAGTAACCTCAACGCAAGCTTATGCAGAGACCGCGAGATCTAGTAAACTCGGGCATCAGAGATGGCACGTGCTTCCGTCATGAGGAATTCTTCGTCATCCGGGCCAACGGTAGGAAAGCCTGGGGTGTGGATGACGCGATCTGCGAAGCTGACAGCTCTCAATTCACAATCAACTTCATAGGTGAACAGCTGACGTAGCCGACGCATTTTGAAACGTACAGGGCTATTGTGTGGATTTGGTGCCATGCGTCTTCTTGGTTCGGGTTTGAAAGACTGCAACTAATTGGTTGGAGACATTGAAGGATATGGTAGCGAATCGACGGCAGTGACGTTCTTGTTGTCATTTCCTATCAGGCCAGAATGCTTGAAGATATATGTATTCATAGTTAAATTGTGTTGACCGTAGAGATTCACTTTCTTCTCCCCCAGTCCTTGAAATGATTCAGTTCCTGCCCACCGTGCATATTACCGCTAACTTCATATGCATTGCATTTTGGCAGTGATCAGTGAAGTTCGCTTCTCTGTATTTCTCTGTAGAATGATGGTGGTGCACATGTCTTTCGCACTGGGTTTAGCTGGCCACTAGTTTCGGCTACTCCGACACATTTCCTTTTGTCGGTCACGATAAACTCACTTTCTGAGGGGGAGATCCAAGCCTTGGGACGTTACAGAGCGCTGGGGTTTGGTCGTATTCTCCGTGCCCTGTTTAAAGATGACGGAATAAGCTTTCCAGTTAGTTGGTGATTCTGTTCTCTAAAGTTTGAAGCATTGAACAGGTCCTTAGGGGGAATCGATTGCTGTCCCCATCCAACTGCACTATTGGACTGTTTGTTCATGAATGGAGTACCCGAGAACTGTGCTGGTCCTCAAAGATTTGTAGCGTCATGCCTCAGGTCGTTTTATATCCTGTGGCCATCCCTCATTGGGGATGCTCGATAAGGCTGCACTATTCGCCTTCAGTTTTACACAAGAGGTTTTCTTCAGCAAAAGCTACGCAGTTTTTGGCAACCTGCGACGCTAGCATAACATCCGACTTCCCTTTGAGAGAAGAGCCTAAATCGCAGCGGTTCGTTGTGTTCTGTTTTACAGTTGCGAGATCTGGCCCCTTCGCACTGATGCTCTCAATCGTCTTTCTGTATTTGATCACCGATGTCTCCGAAGCATTGCTTGTGTTTGATGAGACAATCCGGTGGGCAATAATAGGGTTTGCCGTTGTGTGTGGGATGGGGATAGTCGATCTCCAAAGAAAGCACTCGTTCCAAACCTCTGATTGCTCGATCCGGTTTTGCTCATATCTTCCCATCGTCTACTTTTCGGTGTTCTCTTTGTCCCTGCTGGACAAGGCTGGAAGAAGCATTCTAGCGGTCAGATCATAAACTTGTGAAGAGATTCGCTGACGATTTTCTCATCCGGTGGAATAATGTGAATCCCATCGTACAAATTTGAGGTTTTTATAAAATGGTTGTGTGACATGTCGCAATGATCCTTTGAGTGATAGAGCTTAGGGCTAAACTTAGATATTGGATCAAGGTGGTGATATCCAACTGACTGGATATTGGTCCCATATGAACTGTGGTTCTCGCTCATTGAGCGTTGCCTTGTGGTTTAACCTTTGGTTTCTCCAAACCTGCGGTTGTAAATTTTTAAGAAAGCGGTCCTCCTTGATTTGGAAATCACGTGGTAGCAGTTCAACCAAAGGCAAGGAAATAAACGCGGCTAGATAAAAATAATGTGGCGTGCAGGTGATTGATTTTATTCACACATGTTTGCCTGTTTCGGTTCTAGGTTTTTTTCATTTTTTATTACACACTTTCATATGATGAACAGCAGACGGAGTAAACTCCATAGTCAGGAGGATCTGCTCTTCATTGACGGAAACCGGTAACCTAATCCCCGGGAATTAGAGTGGCAAACCACATAAGACCCCGATAAGGCCCAGTGTGGTTGTGTTGATTATGGGTTTCTTCCATATCTGTTGTTGGGGTTGCAGTGGAGTGTATCTATGTCGTCCGTGATTGATTCTGGATCGAGGAATACTTACTCAGCATCTTGCTGAAAGTGACCCAAGACTTGATCTTTTTAGTGGTTCGATCAGTTGATTCTCCCGATGGAAACTCTATATTGGCAGAGAGCCATCTTCCTTAAGCGTGAATCATCCTGCTTTTCAGGACGCCATAATGATCACCTTTTTCTTTTTTACATATTGTATTTTCCCGTTTCTCGAAAAAAGCATTGTCTACAAGTGTGCTGACGGGGTGATTATTCATTTGCCCACCCACCCTCAATCCAAGACAGCTTAAGTGGCGTCGTGGCGTTCATTTGCACTCCTTTGTGGTCACCATTAACCAGTGTACTATCTTACTTTACTACTGACTATACTATCCTCGTCGATAGTCCGATCATCACCAATTTGGACTCAGTTAAACGCCCTAATGTAAGTTTCATCCATGTACGTTCGTGAGCTGTTGTTGAGGAAAAAATTTTCACGGCACTCTCCCCCCTGCCTTTTTGTGCATACACACTGGGGCAGCTATCTGTTTCTCAAAACCCTTAATCTGAAATTTTCGATCGCTTTTATGCTCTCATACTGGATACTCAACTCTGTGGTTCTTCCACGGTGGTTATCAATATTTTCCCGGTCTGTCTAACTTCTTTCCTGATACACGGTTATTGATACGCTTGTCTTTGTCAGGTTTCTTTTATTTTTCACGACACTCGATGCGTGTCAGACAGTACCATTCCCTACCTGATCCGGCTCTCTCTTAATTGTTCATCCACTGTCACTTGCCTTCAAAGAAAGACCCTTCTGTTAAATTTTTTCCTCCGCTACGATATCTAATTGATTTGCATGAATATCTTCTGT